TCGGACGCTTAACCGACTGCGCCACCCAGGCGCCCCATATAATTATGATTTTTAAATCTACTTGGAACTTCTCAAAAGCAGGATGTATCTGCAGTGTTTATACCACACTACACAGTGACGATTTTATCATTTACCACAGACGAATGGCAGTGCAACAGATGCTGTCATATACATTTCTTTGTAATGTGTGGATACTTTACCCGGAGAATCTTGGGGAGGGTTCGTGGTGCTAATTTGGAGGGCCATTGCTCCCCTCCAGCCCCACAAAGTAGATTCTTTCCCTATGTCATTTGGGACCATTGTTTTATAGTGAATGCCCACTCTCAGACTGGAAGTAAATTGGACTGAAACTTAGCAATCACCTTTTTCCTAAATCTTTTCCCTGTATTTTTCAATGCAAGGTAGGATTTTGCTATAAATGAAATAGCCGCAAGGAACCTCTTGAGGTTGTCAGTATAGAAAGCACCACCGCAAGCAGCAGCCATGCCTGCAGAAGGAGGGAAGACAGATATGGAGAGGATTGGCCTCTTCAGTGAGATGGAGTATGTTAGTGTTGGTGATAAATATGTGTCCTCATTTAATCGTAAGTATATCTGGTTTTCTTTACAGCCTAATAGTGGGTGTTCTATAGGAAATTTTGGATTTAATATTTGGGTTAAATGATATTTTTAATGCTCTATATTTTAAAGTATTAAGTTTTATTTTATTTTTTTATTTTGAGAGAGAGAAGGAGAATGAGAATGAGAATCCACTGACGAACTGTGAGATCCTCACCTGAGCCAAAATGAAGAGTCAGATGCTTAACCCACTGAGTCACCGAGGCTCCCCTTAAAGCATTAACTTTAAAGTCGAATAAATTTATGAAATTTCAGTACAGTTAAGAGAGAACTTAGTTTCGTAAGAGCAGGAAGCTTCTTTTGTTGGGATATCCTACTTTCTTACATTCTCTTCATAGATAATTTCACTTCTTTCCGAAGGTGCATGGCAGTTTTCTCTCAGAATATTTTGCTCAGATGGGACACTGCTATGCAAGCAGCATTTACGTTTGCATCCCAAAAGGCCATCCATGATTACTTTCTTGAAGAATGAAATGCTATGTGAATAGCTGAGGGAGTTTTAGAAGAGTCATAAGTAATAAAAAGAGCTAAAGTAAATAAACATTTTATATGTCTTAGTTAAATTTCTGGCTATTCAATGACTTCTTTGTTACAATTAGAATACACTGACGTGAAACATCTCCAAGATATATTGTTAATTAAACAAAAAAATCAAGGTGCAGAATAGTTTATTATATAGCATGCTAAGCATTAAAAATGGAAAAGGATATATATGAAAATATTCATCGGGACATGCCTAAACATTCTCTGGAAAACAAATATCACGAATTCCCTTGGGAGAGGAAGTGGGTGGCCAAGTGTGGAGGAAAATTTACTGTAAAAACATTTATATTACTGAATTTGGAACCATGTGAATATACTACCTTTTCAAAAATTTAAGTTAAAAAAATCAGTGATACAAATTCATATTTAAATAACTAGTGCTTTAAGGATTGTTCGCACTTCAAAAAAGTTTTCACATTGGTGAAGGACTTCCCAAATTGAGCTCTTCTAGATCTAAGTTATAATAGAAGTTCTACATATTTATAAAAACAACCTTTTAAAAAATTGGCCACTAGTACTTCATTGTATAAATATAACACATTTATTTATCTGCTTTCCTGTTGGTGGACATTTGAGTTGTTTCCTGTATTTGAATATTATGAATGAAACTGCTATGAACATTCCGGTTCATGCCTTTTAGTGGATATAGACACTTATATGTCTTGAGTATATATCTAGGAGGGGAATTGCCTCATTTTGATTATGGAACACCATTCCCTTCAACCTAAACACACACACACACACACACACACACACACACACACACACACACACACACACTCATATACATGTACTTACTGATGATCTCACATGGTGTTTCCTAATATATAGAGGGGGAAGCATTAGATTAGATGATTGTTAGGGTCTCTCCCAGCTCTAAAAGTCAGAGTCTATAACCAAGACCTTGATCTAATTATTAAAATATTGTGATGGAAACCTCTTAGGTCTTATTGTCAATGTGGTCTATAATGTAGAGCTTTCAGTGAGCATTTTGAGACAGCATTTTAGAGCTCAAAACTCAAAATTAGAGTTGGCCCAAATCAAAGTTTGAAACTTTTCTCAGTTGCTTTTCATGTTCTTTAATTATTAGTGAGCTCAAAATGATGATATTCCTAATTTATTTTTAAAGGACCCTTTAATGACGCTGCAAGCAAAAATAAACAGATGCTACCTGGGGGATCCAAAGCAATGTCAAATCTCCAGGCAGGTTATTTTGATCCCCATTTTGTAAGGATATTTGAAGGTGAAGGCTATGTAAATCTGAATCAAGTGAGGAGACGGCATATGATGGAAGAAGCCAAAAAAAATCTAGGCAAAGCCTTCCTCCCTAGTAATGGAGATAAAAAGCCGTAAGTGTTTGGGGGAAAAGTCATAAATTCATTTCCTGCACCTTTCTCTCCTCTAGCCCAAATTAAGTATTTTTCTAGAGGACTTACTTAAGTATGATTGATTTTTTTTAGAGTATGATTTTTAGGATGAGCTTATCTCAGGTGGAGACAGTTATATTGGATGATATAAGTTGACGGGTAGTTTTAGTTAAGTAGATCCTCATCTCATTAAATTTATGCTTATGACACTGCTATTAGTTTATATGATAAAAGCCAGATAAATAATGCAAATAAATTTGTTTGAAAATCTTAAAAAAACTGCCTTGGGTCATCATTATCTGTGTCCTTCACTATTTTTTCTGCTTTGCAAAAATTTTTTAGAAAGTATAAATAAAAATTGTAAAATTTGGTGAAGCCTTTTTTTTGATAAAAAGTGATTTATCAAGACATGCTATTTAAAAACAATTGTAAAGGTAATGCATGGACTTAAACAATATTTTAGTTGTGACAGTTGTCAATGTGAAGTTTCATTTTTTTATCTTTAAACCATTGAACAAAGAAAATCATATAGTCTGTTATATCATATTATTTGGCTGAGCTTTATAATAAGATGCTAATGCACACTCTATAATGTTGACTGTCTCTGTAGAATTTATGAAAGATGAGGATTGGTTGAAGGCCAGTTTTGTGCTTGTGCTATTTTTTTGAGATTAGTAAAACTGCAATTTTCTGAATTAATGGAAACTATTTTCACTTCCTAAAGATTGTGAAATTTTGTTTATGTGGAACATTTAAGATAAGCATAAAAAATTAAAAACATCTCATCTCAAAATTTGTGACTTTGAAAAATGGGCGAAATAAGACTAAAACTAAACTAAAAAAACTAAACTAAAAAAAAAATGGTTGCTTTTTTCTTGCCAGTGTTGGGCAAGTCAATTCCATTACATATATTTTGCTCCTTTTTCAGTCATTTTTTGTGAATTGTGGTCAAATATGTATAACACAAAATTTGCTGTTTTAATTTGCTCCGTTTTTTAAAAACTGTATTTAAGATGTGGGTTAGGAACCTACTATGGCACCATAGGCGGTCCGGTGCCATTCTTCAGCACACAGTTGAAACCCAGAGACAAATATGAGGTACCTGGAAAGAATTTATACACAAACCCGGGAAAGAAAGGAACAGGATATGGGTAAGATACTTTTCATGGTTTCATATAATTTGTTTTGAAGTTAAATATAATTTAAAATTTCTGAATCATGAAGTCACTATTACTTAATTTTTTCTTCCTTAGCTATGCAAATATTACCATAGGTAAACAGTTTTCACACTCTGCTGATTTCTACGACGCACCCAAACTAAATTTTAAGGTAAAATAATCTAATTTTAACTTTCTTCAATCTTTCTCTTAGTTGAAGTCGAGAATTCATTTGTGATCTAATTATGGATTGCTTTATTTTATCTATATTTGTGTTACCAGGGCAATCAATGGTAGACCGATATCTATGAATTGTGATAATTTTACCTTTTTGATACTAGATTTCCATATCTCGTTGTAGATCTTCTCAGCTCTTCCCAGGATGAGCTTTTATCTCTTGCTAATTTACTACATCTACCTTATATCTACCATCTACCTCTAAACTAGCTGTGAGACCTTTCTTACTTGGCCTAATCAGCTATACCTATTTTTGAGTAGAGGAGTCATGTCCTAACCCTTAGGACACCACCACACCCTAATATGGTGTGCCTAAGACAGTAGTGGTGGTACTTTTGGCCTAATCAAGCCATTCTGGTAAATGAGTGGAATGCAGGAGTGATGGGGAGGTAAGAAGGTGGAAGGTAGAGAATGGATGAACACCTACAGAAGAGAGAGTGATAGGATGAGAAGAGAGTGCTCACTATACTAAACCACAGAAATAACAGCTAAATGTACTGGTATATGCCTCTACACTCATTTTATATAATATTCGACTTAGAACGAAACATAGTCACTTGTATGCAGAATGCCTACATGAGAATGAGTAGAGGAACCCTTGTAAATATTGGGACACTGTCAACATAATTTAACAATTTCCATATAACAAAAAAGCTGGTATTGATGAAAAGTCAAGTTTGGACATTAAACAACAGAAATTAAATAGCAAGCATTTTATTAGTTTTTGTTTTAGGCAGTCTTCCAACAATTATGCTGTGGTGACTTTAAGCAGCAGTGGGGCAGCAGTGGGCTACGAGATAGAAGGATAGTGGCCATTTTTAGTGTGTCCAAACTCAAGCAAAGTTTTCTATTAAATTGGGCAGAAATCTTGGTCATTTAATAAGCATCTTTGTTTCTATGTGTGGATTATTAGAAAATTAATGTATAAACTGCTTTTCATCTGTAGGAATAATAATAATACATTATATAAACATATACAAGGCAATTTTATCAGTGGCTCAGTAATGAGTCTTTTATCCTAAATTTTATGTGGTAAGATACTTTTCTCTCCTTATTGTAAAGTTCTTTTTTTATATTCAGAACTTATTATTTATAAGTCAGTTATTTTATATCCCTGGACTTTCTAAAATTAATTCTGAAAATAATTTTAAAAATGCATTCTTGCTTTTTCTTTTAGAATTTAATTTTTAATTTTAATTTTTTATTTTTTTAAATATGAAGTTTATTGTCAAATTGGTTTCCATATAACACCCAGTGCTCATCCCAACAGGTTCCCTTCTCAATGCCCATCACCCACTTTCCCCTCCCTCCCACCCCCCATCAACCCTCAGTTTATTCTCAGTTTTTAAGTCTCTTATGGTTTGACTCCCTCCCTCTCTAACTTTTGTTTTTTCTGCCTTCCCCTCCCCCATGGTCTTCTGTTACATTTCTCAGGATCCACATGAGAGTGAAAACATGGTATCTGTCTTCGTATGACTTTATTTCACTTAGCGTAACACTCTCCAGTTCCATCCATGTTGCTACAAAAGGCCATATTTCATTCTTTCTCATTGCCAAGTAGTATTCCATTGTGTATATAAACCACAATTTCTTTATCCATTCATCAGTTGATGGACATTTGGGCTCTTTCCATAATTTGGCTCTTGTTGAAAGTGCTGCTGTAAACATTGGGGTACAAGTGCCCCTATGCATCAGCACTCCTGTATCCCTTGGGTAAATTCCTAGCAGTGCTATTGCTGGGTCATAGGGTAGGTCTGTTTTTAATTTTTTGAGGAACCTCCACACTGTTTTCCAAAGAGGCTGCACCAGTTTGCATTCCCACCAGCAGTGCAAGAGGGTTCCTGTTTCTCCACATCCTCTTCAGCATCTATAGTCTCCTGATTTGTTCATTTTAGCCACTCTGACTGGTGTGAGGTGATATCTCAGTGTGGTTTTGATTTGTAGTTCCTTGATGAGGAGCGACGTTGAGCATCTTTTCATGTGCCTGTTGGCCATCTGATGTCTTCTTTAGAGAAGTGTCTATTCATGTTTTCTGCCCATTTTTTCACTGGATTATTTGTTTTTTGGGTGTGGAGTTTGGTGAGTTCTTTATAGATTTTGGATACTAGCCCTTTGTCTGATACGTCATTCGCAAATATCTTTTCCCATTCCGTCAGTTGCCTTTTAGTTTAGTTTAGTATTAAAATTTTTTTTTTGATGTTTTATTTTTGAGAGAGAGAGAGAGAGAGAGAGAGAACACACAATCAAGGGAGGGGCAGAGAGAGAGGGAGACAGAATCCGAAGCAGGCTCCGGACTTTGTGCTGACTGCTCAGAGCCCACTTTTGGCTTGAATTTGTGAACTGTGAGATCATGACCTGAGCTTAGCTGACTGAGCCCCCAGGGACCCCTTTGTTTAGAATCTTAAAGAGATTACTCCACTGCATTCTTGCTTGATTGTTTCTGACATTGTCATGTTGATTTTTGTTCTTCTCTATGAACTGTCTTTTTCCCTCTGGTTACTTTTAAGATCTCTTTATCACTCATTGAGCAATTTGATTATGATATGCCTTGGTCAGGTTTTCATCTTGCTTCTTGTGCTTGGGGTTTATTCAGCTTCTTGGATCTGTGGGTTTATAGTTTTCATCAAATTTGGAATGTTTTCAGCTATTATTTCTTCAGTTATTTTTTTTCTGTCCTTCCATCTTTCTTTCCCCTCTCCTTCAGGGACTCCTAGTACATATGCATTAGATCTTTTGAAATTGTCTCACAGTTTACCAGTGCTTTGTTTGCTTTTTTTTCCTTTTTAATTCTCTTTTTCCCTTCTCTGTATGTCAATTTGAATTGTTTCTTTTCCTATGTGCTCAAGGTCACTAATCTATTTTAACTACAGTGTCTAATCTGCAATATCCTGTGTATTTCTAATCTCACACATTGTACTTTTGCTCTCCAGAAGTTCTGTTTGAGTGTTTTATAGCTTATGTGTTTCTGTGTGGCTTTATGAGCATATACAGTTTAATTACTGTTTCAGTTTCCTTCTCTACTAATTCTAACATCTGTGTTCTTGGTTGATTTTGAATTCTTAGTTTTTCTTCTTGGTACAGGTCATATTTTCCTGCTTTGCATGGTTAGTGATTTTTGACTTAATGTTAGGCACTTTGTCATTTACTTTGTTGAGTGCTGTATATTTTTGTATTCTTATAAAAATTCTTGGGCTTTGTTCTGGAATGCAGTAAAATGATTTGGAAACAGTTTGATTTTTTTCAGGTCTTGCTTGGTTTCAGATTTGTTAGGTGGGACAGGAGCAATGCTCAGTCTAGGACTAATTACTCTGTACTGCGGGGGCCACCCCTTTCTGTGTGCTCTACCCAGTGCCCTGGGACTCATGTTTCCCAGCAGAACTGATGGAACCAGAACTCTTGCCAGCTCTGTGATAAGAGCCAGACACTGTTACTTTTAGTCTTCTTAGGTAGTTCTTTTTTTGGCTTTGAGTAGTTTCCTCATATATGTGCTGATGTATACTACACTGAATGCTCTAGGGCAGGGGTTGGTAAAACAAACACAGTATTCTAGTAAAACGTGACCATACTCTAGCCAAAGGTGTTCTTTAAAGCCTTTCCTCATGATAACCTGCATCAGAATCACCTGCGGTGACTAAAATGATAGATTTTTAGGCCATATAGCAGACCAAGAGGATCTAGAAATCTCTGAGAGAAGAGCTTGATATTTTATATAACTTATCAAGAGATTCCTATGAGAACTAAAATTTGAGAAACACTGCCCAAAAAGATAAATGGAATGGTTAAAATTATCATTACCACTGTGATTTGGAAGAGGGGAGAGATGATCAGCAAGAAGGGGTAAAATTTCTATGAGCTGGAGAAAGGACGAGGGCAAGCAAAAACAAAGAAAAAGATAAAAAAGAGTGAAAAATCCTGAAAGTGTTACAGTAGCATTCTTGGTAATGCAAGTTTGTCTTCCCTGGATTAACTATCTATTTTAGATTTCATTTATCAAACATTTTCAATTGTTTGTAGAATGACAAAATACCAGATTTCATACTAGAAAAAAGTGAAAAAAAGGTATTAATATTCACTTTAGTTGCCTCTTCAAATCTATATTTCATAGCATGAAATTTTTTTCTACTTTATTAACAGAAATTTTTGTAAGTATTGTCCCATAGAGGAGATTGCAAAATGGAAGGGAAAAAATGACCTCTGTTTTGCTTGAATACGAGGTAGTTAATATAAAAATGTTATAAAGAGTAAGTATTCCTCATTTTTAGAAGTAAAAACTGACAGTTATTTAGGGCCCACCACATGCCAGGTACTTTACGCACTTAATTGCATTTAATCTATACAACAGCATTGGGTGTGTGGAAGGAGAGATTATATCATCTACAGTTGAAGAAAATGTAGCACTAACAGGGTAAGTAAATTTCCCAGAGTCCCTGAGAAATGCTAAAAAGCACGAAGGAGTTGTGATTTGAACAACAAAATCCTTTTTCTTTACTGCATCATATCACCCAGATAATTAATTTAGGTTTCTTTAGGTGATAAATAGATCTCTGTACTTGAAATAAATTTATATCTAAAGAGAGCAATCATACTTGTACCTGTTCATAAGTGAGGCATATCTTTTGTATCATAGAAACAAAACATAACAAAGGAATGTTTTAAAGAAGTGAACCCAGCAGTACAGATATGAAAAATCTACATGCTTATATTAAAATTTAAAAGAAAATTTGACTGTTACTTCTAATGTGAATAATTTATGTCCCACAATTTCAAACACTCTGGTTTACAGAAGGAGAATGAAGAACACCATCGTTTAGTTAAAGGAACACCTTTCAAATCAAATCTTTACCCAAGGGAATATTTTGACACGAATCCTTATTTGTTTGAGAAAGCTTTACCACCAATTAAAAAAACAGAGAAGAAAGAATTACTTGCACACCCCTTTAAGCCTTCTTCTCCTGGTAAAAAGGTAAGTTAAAAATTTTAGAATGAAAAAATATTAAGCGTTATAAAGAACTGTTGCCTCTTTATGTCAAGTCATTTTGTTACCCATGTAAATAATAAACTTTTGTTTATTATTCACACTCTTAGTGAATCATGGTAATAATTGTGAAACCTCTTTTAACAAAATTAGGAAAAGTCACAAAGCATGGCTAGTATAGGGAATAATGTGTTCTTGCAATGAAATAATCATTAATTATTTCAAAGGCATTTGAATTTATAATGGATTTTCCAACTACCTCTCTAGATTTTAGGTATAATTTTTCACAAAACCATGAAAAGCCAGACCATCTTTCAAGTTTTGAAATTGTTGTTAAAATGAACTATCTCCTACTCTGTTGGTGTTTACAAGTATGAATAAAAATACAAATGCTTCTTTGGTTTATAAACCTTAGTTTATACTTTGTTTTGTCTTTTATGTATCACCTGTTCATTTTCCCTGCTGATTTTCTATTAGGATATTTGTCTTTTTCATATTGATGTGTAAGATCGTTTCATATATTAAGGATATTTGTCATTGTGTTGAAAATAATTTTTTTGGCTTGTTCAGTCTTTGACTTTTGTTATGGTATTTTGTACTATTCAGAAGTTTAATAATTTGATGTAGTCAAATTTATCAGTTGTGCTAAGTTTGATGACATTCTCAGAATCACTTTCCTCACCACCAATATTAGAAAAATATACATTCTTGATTTCTTCTATTAGTTTTTCCCTTTTTATTTAAATATTCATTTGAAATATATTTTGAAATGAAGAGCAAGGTAAAGATTCAGCTTTTATCTTTTCAAAATCCAATTTTGAAATTAGGAGGACCCTTTGGGGAGGAGGATATGCTCTAGATCTTGATTGCAGTCATGGTTTCTAGGGTAATACACTGTCAAAACTCATAGAATTGTAAACTTTAAATGGGTGCAGTTTATTGTACATGAATTAGACTTAAAAACTGATTTTTTAAAAAAAAAAAGCCGGTTGTTCCTAGCATCACTGATGGAATAATTTTCAACAGCACTGCTTTGAAATGGCATCCTTATCAAATCAAAATTAGCATTTCCATTTTATTTGATGTTTATTTCTTTTATTTAAAAAAATTTTTTTTAACATTTATTCATTTTTGAGAGTGAGAGAGAGCATGAGCAGGGGAGGGGCAGAGAGAGAGGGAGACACAGAATCTGAAGCAGGCTCCAGGCTCTGAGCCGTCCACACAGAGCCCGATGTGGAGCTTGAACTCACAGACCACGAGATCATGACCTGAGCTGAAGTTGGACGCTCAACTGACTGAGCCCCCTAGGTGCCCCAATTTGATGTTTATTTCCACCTGTATGAAACTACTTTTAATTACCATTGCATTTTAATTTGGGGTGGTCTAGTTTCTATCTTGTTACTCTTTAAAAAAATTACATTGGCTATCCTCCCATATTCTCTAGAACTTTGAAGTTATTGTCTAAAGTGCTGGGGGAAAAAGACTTTGGTATTTTGCTAAAAAGTTAAATCTTTAGATTTTTGGATGTCTTAGCTTGCTTGCTCGCTCGCGCACTCATTAATTAATTAATTAATTAAAAGTTTATTTATTTTGAAAGAGAGAAAGAATCCCAAGCAGGCTCTACACTGACGTTGTGCTTGATCTCCTGAACCATGAGATCATGACCTAAGCTGAGGTCACAAGTTGTACACTTAACCGACTCAGCCACCCACACACCCCTCAGCATATTTATGATTTGAGTCTTCTGATCTAGAAACAAACTGCTTATTAAAACCTTTATTTCCCTTGTAGAATTCTAAATTTTGCTTCATACAGGTTTATATGTTTTATGTTTTGTTCCTATTTATTTTAAGGCTCTTGTCAACAATTTTTTTCCTATCATATATTCCCTTATGTAATTTGTCTTTATCAAAATGTTTGATAATTGGCCACTTCATTAAGTTTTCTTATGTTCTAATGGGTATTATGTTGATTCTCTTTAGATTTTCAGATATGTGATTACGTTATCTGCAAATAATTTTGCCCAATCCTTTCCAGTATTTGTAGCTTTTAAGTCATGTTCATGTCTAGTTGCTTAGCATAGCAATAGTTGCCATCATTTGCCTTAATCTTGAATTTACTGAATTAGTTGAATTTACTCTAGTGTTTCATTTTTATAGATGCCAAAAAAAGGAATAAATTAGGAATGTATGTAGAATGGTATTGAATATTTTGGTGTAATCTATTTAGACCATCTTTTTTTTCTTTCTTTGACTTGTTATAAGGTGAATGATGATAAATTTCTTGGAATGAATTCCACTTGGCTATGTTGTATTTAAGTATAATACTTTATCTTATTTATTAATATTTTAAGTATTTTTGCATCAATAATTTTAAGTGTAACTGGTCTAATTTTTTTTTTGTATGCTTTGTTTTATCTTGGTATAAGTAGGTGTTAGCGTCTTAAAATAATCAGGGAGATTTTTTTCTTTTTCTGTGTTTTGTAACAATTCAGGTAGCACCACAAATAACTGTTCCTTACAGGCTTGAAAGAATTCTTATGCAAAATGTTCTGGGCTTAATTTCTTCTATGATGCCTTATCTGATTTGTATCTCTTTTGAGTCGATTTGACATTTATATTTTCTTTGAAAATAATTTCATTTATGTTTTCAAATTTATCAACATAGAGGTTTACAAAAATGTTATTTTATATTTTTGGTTATTCCATATATGTCCACTCCTTTCTCAATCCTAATTATAATGTAGATTTATCTATTTATTTTGTAAGGCATCATCTGGTGGTTTGGTTTATTTATGTACCATGTATATTTTTCCTTTTCTTTTTTCTTTTTTTTACTTAATTTTTTTTAACTTTTATTTATTTTTGAGAAGGGGTGGGGGAAGTGGCAGAGAGAGAGGGAGACACAGAATCTGAAGCAGGCTCCAGGCTCTGAGCTGTCAGCACAGAGCCCGACATGGAGCTTGAACTCACTCGAACTCACAAACCCTGAGATCATGACCTGAGCCAAAGTTGGATGCTTAACTGACTGAGCCACCCAGGTGCCCCTATATTTTTCTATTTTTAATTAGTTCATTTTGCTTTACCTTTATTAATGAATTTATTTTACTTAAATTTCCTTATTATTTATTGCTCCTCAAAAGAATCTGTGTCCTCTACCTGGAAAACTTGAAATATTACAATTATATCTTTTAATTGAATTAAATTTTCATGTATATTTGGCATAGATATTGTAAGATAATGGATGCCTATTTAAATTGGTTATGATGGGGGCGCCTGAGTGGCTCAGTCGGCTAAGCGTCGGACTTCAGCTCAGGTCACGATCTCGAGGTCCGTGAGTTCGAGCCCCGCGTCGGGGTCTGGGCTGATGGCTCAGAGCCTGGAGCCTGCTTCCAATTCTGTGTCTCCCTCTCTCTCTGCCCCTCCCCTGTTCATGCTCTGTCTCTCTCTGTCTCAAAAATAAATAAACATTAAAAAAAATAAATAAATTGGTTATGATGATTCTATAGAGTTTTCTTGGTAACTACGTATAAAGATTAAAATTGTGGTAAATCAGCTTAAAAAGTCAAAGCAAATATTTGTTTTGTGTACAGGTCAAAAAATAATTTTGACTAACTCCTTACTAGATCTAAGAAAAGTATAAAGTAGGTCATGTTTTCCTCTCACCTTCTGTTTCTATGTGCTACTCCTTATTTTTAAAAATTTTTATTTTTTGTATCTTTTTCATCATTGACCAATATTTAATGAACTCATGTCAGCCTCCCTGTTGAACGAACCTTATCCTTGACCTTCTCTTCTGAGCATGCTCTGGTTCTGATCCCCAACTCCTTTCTGTATCAAAATATACATGACTTAGGTCTTATTCCCTCGGTAATAAACTCACCCCTTAACCAGATGACAGCTTGATCTGGTGAACTCTCACTAAGATATTAATATTTGGGGCTTCTGGGTGGCTCAGTTGGTTAAGCATCCAACTCTTGACTTTAGACTCAGGTCATGATCTCACAGTCTGCCTTGGATTCTCTCTCTCTGCTCCTACCCTGCTCACGTCCACCCCCTCTCTCAAAATAAATAAATAAGCTTAAAATTAATAGACAAATATTAATACTTGACAATAGTTTAGAATATTACCTTCCCATAAATATTTGCATTTTAATAGAGAACTTTTGAAAACTACAATGTCTTGCCCCCATAAAATTGGTGGCAGGGAGACTGCTGGTGTTTGAACAGTATAGGCATACTTAGTTTTATTGTGCTTTGCTTTATTATGCTTCGTACATACTGTGTTTTTTTTTTACAAATTAAAGGTTTGTGGAAATCTGTGTTGAGCAACGTGATTGACACCATTTTTCCGACAATAATTGCTCACTTTGTGTCTCTGTGTCACGTTTTAGTACTTCTTCCATTATTTCAAACTTTATTATTATTATATTTGTTATGGTGATCTGTGATCGGTGATCTTTGCTGTTACTATTGTAACTGCATGGAGGGGTGCTATGAATGCCACCTGTGTAAGACAGCGAACTTAATTAATGCACGTTGTGTGTTCTGACTGCCCTGCCAACTGGCTATTCCCTCATCTCTTTCCCTCTCCTTGGGCCTCCGTCTTCCCTGAGACACAACAGTATTTAGATGATGCCAGTTAATAACCCCACAATAGCCTCTAAGTGTTCACGTGAAAGGAAGAGTTGCATGTCTCACTTTAAATCGAAAACTAGAAATGATTAAACTCCATGAGGAAGTCATGTCAAAAGCTGAGACAGACTAAAAACTAGGCATCTTGTGCCAAACAGTTATCCAAATTGTGAACACAAAGGAAAAGTTCTTCAAAGAAATTAAAAGTGCTACTCCAGTGAATACGTACATGATAAGAAAGCAAAACAGACTTCTTGCTGATGAGGAAAGTTTTGGTGATAGAAGATCTGGATGGAAGATCAAGCCAGCCACAAGATGTCCTTATGCAAAGCCTAATACAGAGCAAGGCCCTAACTCTTCAATTCTGTGAAGGCTGAGAGAGGTAAAGAAGCTGGAGAAGAAAAGTTTGAAGCTAGCTGAGGTTGGTCCACTAAGTTGCAATCTCCATAACATAAAAGTATGAGGCAAAGCAACAAGTGCTGATGTAGAAGTTGCAGCAAGTTACCCAGAAGATCTAGCTAAGGTAATTAATGAAGGTGGCTATGCTAAACAACAGATTTTTATTTTATTTATTTTTTTTAATATATGAAATTTACTGTCAAATTGGTTTCCATACAACACCCAGTGCTCATCCCAAAAGGTGCCCTCCTCAATACCCATCCCCCACCCTCCCCTCCCTCCCACCCCCCATCAACCCTCAGTTTGTTCTCAGTTTTTAACTAAACAACAGATTTTTAATGTAGATTAAATAATCCTTTATTGGAAGAAGATACCATCTAGGACTTTCATAGCTAGAGAGGAGAAACCAATGCTTGGCTTCAAAGCTACAAAGGACAGGCTGGCTCTCTTTTTAGAGGCTACTGTAGCTGGTGACTTTAAGTTGAAGCCAGTGCTCATTTACCATTCCCCAAATCCTTGGTCCCTTAAGAATTATGATAGGGGTGCCAGGGTGGCTCAGCCAGTTGAGTGTCTGACTCTTGATTTTGGCTCAGGTCATGATCTCATGGTCATGAGATCCAGCACCACGTCAGGCTCTGCGCTTGAGATTCACTCTTTCCATTTCTCTCTGCCCCTCCCCTCCGAAACAAATAATCATTTGATAAAAAAAAGGATTATGATAAATCTCTGTGCTATAAACAACAAATCCTGGGTGACAGCACATCTGTTTATGAAATGGTTTACTGAATATTTTAAGCCTGCTGTTGAGATCTGCTCAGAAAAAAAAAAAAAAAAAGATTCCTTTCAAAATAGTACTGTTTATTGACAGTGCGTCTGGTCACCCAAGAGCTCTGATGGCAATGTACAATGAGATTAATGTTGTTTTCATGCTTGTTAACACATCTATTTGGCAGCCCATGGATCGTGGAATAATTTCAACTTCAAGTCTTATTATTTAAGAAATACATATCATAAAGCTCTAGCTGCCATAGATAGTGACTCCTCTGATGGATCTGGGCAGAGTAAATTGGAAACCTTCTGGAAAGGATTCATATTCTAGATGCCATTAAGAACATCTGCAGTTCATGGCAAGAGGTCAAAATATCAACATTAATGGGTGTTTGGAAGTTGATTCCAAACCCCATGGATGACTTGGAGGCACTCAATACTCCAATGGAGGAAGTAACTGCAGATGTGGTGGAAATAGCAAGAGAACTAGAATCACAAGTAGGGCCTGAAGATGGGACTGAGCTGCTGCAATCTCATGATAAAAGTTTGATGGAGGAGGAGTTGCTTCTTATGTCTGAGAAACGAAAGTGGTTTCTTGAGATGGAATCTACTCCTGATGAAGATACTATGAAGATTGTTGAAATGACAATGGATTTGAAATATATGAACCTGGTTGATATAGCAACAGCAGGGTTTGAGAAGATAAACTCCAATGTGAAAGAAGTTCTGCTGTGGGTAAAATGTTATCAAACTGGTTGCATGCTACAGGGAAATCATTCATGAAAGGAAGAGTCAATCAGCATGGTGAACTACATTGTTTTGTTTTAAGAAATTGCCACAGCCACCCCAACCTTCAGCCACCACCAGGTCAGTCAGCAACTATTAACATCAAGGCAAGAACTTCCACCGGCAAGAATATTCTCATTGACTGAAAGCTCAAATGATATTTAATATATTTTTAGCAATAAAACATTTTAAAATTAAGGTATGTACATTGTTTTTTTAGGCACAATGCTATTGCACTCTTAACAGACTATAGCATTGTATAAATATAACTTTTATATGTAGCGGGAAACCAAAAAATTCATTTGACTTGCTTTTTTGTGATACTCATTTTATTGCAATTGTCTGGAACTGAACTCACAATATCTCTGAGGTATGTCTGTATAGACAACTTTAAATGTAAAACCAACTCCATAGTGCACAAATATGTATGAACTTCTTCAAAATCTAATTTTGTTAGAAGCATTTTACAAAACTACATTAAATTGTCTCATTTTTATTTGTAGGCTGGTGGAATGAAGGCAGGAACATTTGATCCTTACCCTTCACATTCTGCTGACCCTTATGTGGTTAAATTGGCAAGCCAGACTTCCAGCAAAGGTGCTAAGATTTTCTATCCCCCAAGTGGACCAAAGAGCAGACCAACTAAAAGTATAATGACTTTGAATGTCAAAAGGTAGTAATATGTTACACTTAGACTATAAACCAAGAAAAATTGTTTTTGACTTTTAGATTCCTTCAAAATAATATCTTTTATTTATATGTACTTCAAATAATGACAGATCTGGATGTCTTTGGAAATCTCAGCTCCTTTTATATAGAAGCTCTCCCTTAGAAGTTCTTTCCCATCTTCTAAAATTTTCTATTGAAAAGCTTAATTTATTTGTTCTGTTCATAATTTTTATTTTTATTTATTTTTAAATTTATTTTTCTTTTCTATATTTTATTTATTTTTTATAATTTACATCCAAGTTAGCACATGGTGC